GGTCTGGGATCACCTCAGACGAAGTTTCTTTGGGGATCCCTCCAACTGAACTGCTGATCTCAGAACCCTAACCATGAAGAGAAGTGCAGGTTCCATGGTCTGACAAGGAAGTCCACGTGTCAAAGCTGAGCCTCCTCAGAGGCTCAGACGTTACAGTGGACGACATATCCAGGTGCACATGGAGGACATGACTGTGTATCGGAACCTGTGTATCGGAGGACACCTGATACCACAGCAGAGGATGGCTTTCCTCTGGAGGACAGAACATCGATCATCTGCCCCAGCCATGTGTTGGCAGTGACAATCTGGGCAAATGGAGACTCTAAGGTGGATTATGTCAGCCAGTGGATTCTGGATTTTATCGTGCATGGAATCATGAGATTGGCAGTAATTCAGAACTATTGGACTATCAAAACTGCTTGAGCAGTGCCCCCGGAGCATGCCCTATGTTGGGGACCCTGGGACGGGTGGAAGGTTGGGTGGGGTTCCTCCCCTTTGTCCCTCCCCACACCAGATACAGAAAAAAATGTGGAAACAATGGTCTTACCCACTTTCCTATAGCCTTTGATCCTTTGTGTCCTAATCAATTATCAAAATAAAATAACTTTTAAAAATAAATAAAATTTTGTGCCAAACAGTTGTAACATTTTTTTTCCGTTGCTCTAAAGTGCTTTAAGAAACCTGAATGGGTCCGGCATGATAGCATAGAAGCTAAAGTCCTCACCTTGCACATGCTGGGATCCCATATGGGCACCAGTTCTAATCCCAGCAACTCCACTTCCTACCTAGCTCCCTGCTTGTGGCCTGGGAAAGCAGTAGAGGACGGCCCAATGCTTTGGGACCCTGCACCCATGTGGGATACCCAGAAGAAGTTCCTGGCTCCTGGCTTCGGATCGGCATAGCATTGGCCGTTGAGCTCACTTGAGTGAATTATTGGACAGAATATCTTACTCTGTCTCTCCTCTCTATATATGACTTTGTAATGAAAATAAAATAAATCTTAAACAAACAAGCAGCTTTTTTATGTTTTATTGCACAATGTTTTCTGATGCTTAAGTGAATAAATGACCTACAGAAAATCACTTACCTTTTCCTGAAGCTCTCTGTATTGTGCCTGAAGTACTTCTAACTCGAAGTTATCAACAGGTACCCTTTCGCTGTTTTTTCCCACTGGATTTTTTGACAGCCCATCCAATCTGGGGACTTTCTGGATACCTATTAAAAAAAATTTACCAGATATAATTTAGGGCCTAACATAATCTTACTTTTCCCAGAAAAGACTGAAAAGCATCACTCTTGAAAGCAATGCAAAGAGCTACAAGCAATACACACAGACCATTTCCAACCTAAGAACACAATTCATAGACTTATGAAATAGTGGATCTTATCACCCTCTCTGCACTGCGAACCCAACTTCTTTCATTCTATTTTTAAAGATGTATTTTTATTGGAAAAGCAAATCACATTTACAGAGAGGAGAAACAGAGCAAAAGCTCTTCCAACCGCTGGGCTAACCAATCACTTGGGCTCCAGGTCTCCCGCGCGGGTACAGGGTCCCAAGGCTTTGGGCTGTCCTTGACTGCTTTCCCAGGCCACAAGCAGGGAGTTGGATGGGAAACAGGGCACTGGGACATGAGTCAGCACCCATATGGGATCCCTGTGCATGCAAGTTGAGGACTTTAGGCACAAGGCTACCCTGAACCCAATTTCAAGAGCTTCATCTGTAGGCTCAAAGATGCTGTGGGGCTCTCACTGGCTGGGCACCGTGACCGACGACTACTAAACTGTGTTCATGGAGCACTTACAACAAGCCAGGCATGATGACCCAGAGACATGGGCTTTATAGGACATTCAAAAAATCATCACTTGAATAAATGTGAAACTACAGTGGTTACACACAGAGGAAAGGCTCTAGCATAGGGATCTGGCCTAACTGGAATGCTGAGAATATTTCCATAAGGAAGCCTTGAGGAGCCATGAGGGCACAAAAGAATGGAGATCAAGAACACTCAATGCTTTAAGGAAGAATACCGCTGTACTATTAGGGGACAGGAAGAACTCAATGAGGGGCAGACCGTAGCAAAACGGGGGTGGGGAGAGCACATCATGCATGGTAAGCTCTGAGATCGCGGGCCCAGTGCAGTAGCCTAGGGCCTAGAATCCTTGCCTTTCATGGGTGCTGATTCGTGTGCCAGCTGCTCCACTTCCCTCCCAGCTCCCCGCTTGAGGCCTGGGAAGGTAGTGAGGATGGCTCAAAGCCTTGGGACCCTGCACCTGCGTGGGAGACACAGAAGCAGCTCCTGGCTTCTGATCAGCTCAGCTCTGGCTATTGTGGCCACTTGGGAAGTGAACCAGAGGATGGAAGACACTTCTGTCTTTCCTTCTTTGTAAATCTGACATTACAGTAAAAACAAATAAAAAACAAAACACCAAAACTTAGATCTTTCCTCCAGGAGGGGCACAATAGGAGTATTAAAAAGACTTCCAGCTGCGATGTCCGCTGTGTCTGTGTGACTTGGCCCGCCCTGGGGATTGGAAAGATTCCCCCCCGCCCCAACTACTGTGTGATGTCAACACTGGGAACGTGAGATTCAAGTCAGCACTTGGAGTGAGCGGCGGCCAGCGCCAGGCAGAAGCAGTGTCAACGGGAGGAATTGGAGCCAGATGCAGAAGAGCGGCTAGGATCTGGGCAGCAAGGAGGGGTGGAGTGCAAGCGGAGGACAGAGGACAGTCACAGCCACAGCAAACACCTGGTCACCCATGAATGTGTGCGCCCGGCGCGTGGGAGACTGCAGAAAATTACCTTGCCGAGTTTAAGCATCCTGGCAGACAAGTACAGACACAAGACATCATCTTAAAGCCTTTCTGGGCGCCCTTACAAGCCTTCATTCATTCCCCAGGCTGGCGGCACATGGTACAGACCACAGCTGAATAACGGAATTAAATCTCTTCCACCTGCTGCCGCTCCTGGGCCCCTCCCATGGCCAGGCTAAAGGGGATAAGGGTTTTCATCAGGTGTAATGTTTTCCACCTGTGCAGCAAACGCTTCCAGTGTGTGGGGGGGAGGGGAGGGGATTTCTGCTTAGAACCTTTCCAGAACCGAAGGGGCCTTTCAGACAATAACATTATCCCTCTAGCTTTCTATATTTAAAAGATACTCCGGATACCTTTCTTCTCCCAAATCAACTGCTGCTTAAATCAGGGGTTTCAAAAGGTTACGGGGCTGGTGAAGGGGTCCGGGAGTCACAACCGCCCAGCAGCTGCGGCCCGGCGGGCTGCACTGCCCTGCGGGAGGAGGCCGGGAAGGGCACTCACTGGTCACTTCCCGGGGCGCGGGCGGGCACTGGCTCAGGGCCTGCGACGCCAGGATGTCCAGCTCCTCCAGGTCGTCGGCGGTGAAGTCTCCGTGCTCGCCGAATGGGTCTTCAGGGTCCGGGGCGGCGGCGGCGGCGGCGGCCTCTGGGAAGCTGCGGGCGCGCTTGCTTGGGGGATGCCCAGGGATGGGCAGCGGGCCGGGGCGAGGGCCCGGGGGCCCGCTCCGCTTCCTGCCCGGCGCGGACGCCCCGGCCATGCCTGCAGGGGGATCCCCGGACGCCTCAGCCTCCGCCGGCCCCAACTGCCCGCGCGCCGCCACTCGCCTCAGCTTGCCCGGCGCCGTCCCCGACCCCGCGGGCCAATCAGCTGCCTGCCTGCCGGCGCGCACCACTGACGTGTTCCGAGAGCGCCGCCCTCGGCGCGGTCAAGCCGGGGTCCCTTGGCGGAACTCCCCGATGCGGATGGGGCAGAGCGCACCGCTCACCCGGCGTTGTCGGGTCCGGTCTTCAGGCCTTTGCTGCCCTCCTAGCATCCGCGGTTCCCCGAGGAGAAGGGGTGGGGAATGTGGTTTCAAAAGTGGCCCCAGGGTGTCCTACAGGCAAGATGAAGGGGCAGATGGTTAGCCAGGGACCAGAGGGCCGGCCAGGTCCTATCTATGGCCAAAGGAGGAATGGGAGGTAAACGTGAGTGAAGGAGCAAGGCTCCCGGGAGGACACTACCCATGTTTATGAAGAAAGCAAAACATGCCTTTTGGGTGTTTTTAGCAACTGGTGTACCATCAGATAGCTTACAGAATGTTGAACGCTTCTGTCCCAATCTGTCAGGTCTGGAAGGATTCGGTTTTGTCAGAGCAGTGACTTGCTCTCAGAAGTGGCACCCTGACACGGCTATGGCAGGGGCTGCTTTGGGCAGCACAACTCAAGGTGCCAGTTTACAAGGCCCCAAGGAGCAGTTACCATCTACTGTAGCAGGAGCTCAAAGGACAGGCTGTAGACTTGGCCGAGTCTACCACTCTTTCTGAAACCATCTCCACATTCATTCCCACAGTGCTACCAATGACCTGGACTTGTTTCTGAATCACTTAAAGAAACATATGTATCATTAGCACTAAAACAAGCTTTTTATTCCTTTTCCTAGGAAGTGCCTTCACATTTAGCACACCTTAGCAATCTGCCCTGGTTACATTTTAGTTAAGGAGTAGACACCAGTCCTTAAGGATACTCACTCCCCCCGCCCCCAACACCTCCAGCCCGTCTCCTGTGTGCGCCCAGCTCCTTGCGTCACTAGACTAACTATCCTTCCCGCTATTTTGATGTTTGCACTATGCACAGTCAGGGTGCAGTGCCAGGGCTCTGCACCCAGAGTGACCTTAACCTCAGAGGTGACTGCAGAGCTAGACTGGGCAGAAGGCCTTGGAACCAAAAGGGAGTGGGGCAGCGGGTGGCTTATTTTTGCTGATGGACCAGATGTCCGGTCTAAGGTGGGAGCTCATAAGGGCCATTCTGAAACTTCTCCAGAGCTCTGGAGGGAGCAGACCCGCTCAGGGCAGCTCCTCCACAGGACTCACTCCTGCAGGCGATGAACCCATCAGAATACAAGCATCGATGAGCCTTTTCTCTCCAAGGTGATGTCTTCCCACACCTCTCGAGGGGCATTCTTTCAGGCATACAACTATACACAGAACAGCCTTTCCAATGAGTTTAATTCCAGGTGATACAGAATTTCGAGAATAGAGACCACAGAGCAGCCTCTGGCAGGATTCTCAGCTGGGCCTACTTTACACGCGTAGCTAAGGATGGCTGGATGAAACAACTTAGGAGACAGCTACCATACAGTGGTGGTTTTTTTTTTCCCTCTTTTTTTTTTTTTTTTTTTTTACAAAAGTTTATTTGTAAATGTACAATGGGCTCCAAGGTGACACTACATTCTAACTATGGGCGGCTAAAGATGCTCCGGCCGAGACGCCAGATGTTCAGACACGTGTGGGGTCGAGGACAGCATCACATCAAGTGCCAAGGAGCAGCTTACTTTTTGCCAGATTTCTTAATTCCACCTGTGGCTGCAAAAGTGGAAAGGGGAAGGTATGGTTAGAGAGACTGTTCTCATGGCAGAAGTCCCTTGGATATGACGTGGATGCTGGTGACGCCCAGCTCCTGTACGCACTGAGCATTTGGCATGACACCAGGACGCACATTGGTTTCACAGACCCGGCCTGTTCTGCTCAGGGGAAGAATGAGGTTGAGGCAGGGGCACAAGCTACGGCCAGGGGCTGGTGTGGCGCTCCACTGCTGCTCACTTCATAGGATGTCCTTCTCCAGGGCGCAGTCTTTGGTCGTAGGCACCACGCCAGCTAACCAGCTGGTAGGACTTCAGGTGGTCTGATGTCCAGCTCCTCATTCATTCATTCATTCATTCGAGGGACAGACCAAGTTCCTACTAACAGTCTGACTCCTCAAATGTTCACAGCATACAGGACTGGGCCAGGCCAGGAGCTGGGGAGTCAATTCAGGTCTTCCACCAGGGCGGCAAGAGCCAAAATACTAGACGTCACCTGCCGCTTCGCTTCATCTGCGCTGCCAGGAAGCTGGGAGTCCAAACCTCAGTTCAGTTTTTTAAAGACTTGTTTATTTTTATTGGAAAGTCAGATTTACAGAAAGAAGGAGACACAGAGAGAAAGATCTTCCATCTTTTGCTTCACTTCCCCAAATGGCAGGAATAGCTGGAGCCAATATGGAGGCAGAAGCAGCTTTCCACACGGGTGCAGGGGCCCAAGCAGCTGCAGTGCACATCAGCAGGGAGTTGGATTATTGAACAACTAGGACATGAGCCAGCACTCACACGGGATGTCACCACTGCAGGCACTGCATTAATCTACTTTGTCACCATACAATATGTCACTGGCTCTAAGCTACTACATCATGATCTGGGGATTTAGTCAACTTACTACTTTCACTTCACTCAATGTACAACCAGTAATATATTTGGCACCTAGTAACTTAGGTTACAGAATTAAACTTGCCTGGGCCCAGCGCGGTGGCACAGTGGTTAAGGTCCTTGCTTTGCACGCCCAGGATCCCATATGGGTGCTGGTTCTATCCCGGCAGCCCCGCTTCCCTTCCAGCTCCCTGCCTGTGGCCTGGGAAAGCAGTCGAGGACAGCCCAAAGCTTTGGGACACTGCACCCGCGTGGGAGACCTGGAAGAGTCTCCTAGCTTCGGACCGGCATAGTATCGGCCGTTGCACTCACTTGGGGAGTGAATCATCGGACGGAAGATCTTCCTCTCTGTCTCTCCTCTCTGTATATCCACCTTTCCAATAAAAAAAACAATAATAATAATAAAAAATAAATCTTTAAAAAAAAAGAATTAAATTTGCCTAGTATAGGAATGAAAATAAAAAAGCGACAGGATAAAAATAAACACACACACACAGCACCAAGATAAAGCAAAGCTTAAAAAAAAAGTTAGCTGGGACCCAGTGCAATAGCCTAGTGGCTAAAGCCCTTGCCTTGAACATGCTGGGATCCCAAATAGGTGCCGGTTCTAATACTGGCAGCCCGGCTTCCCATCCAACTCCCTGCTTGTGGTCTGGGAAAGCAGTCGAGAATGGTCCAAAGCCTTGGGACCCTTCACCCGCATTGGAGACTTGGAAGAGGCTCCTGGCTCCTGGTTTTAAATCACTGCAGCTCTGGACATTGTGGCTGCTTGGGGAATGAATCCATGGACAGAAGATTTTCCTCTCTGCAATCTGACTTTCCAATAAAAATAAATATTTTTAAAAAGCTAGCTGATGTTTGGGGCTGGTGCGGGGCTCAACAGGCTAATTTTCTACCTACAAATGCCAGCATCCCATAAGGACGCCAGATTGTGTCCTGGATGTTCCATTACCCATCCAGCTCCCTGCTTGTGGCCTGGGAAGGCAGGAGAGGATGGCCCAAAGCCTTGGGACCCTGCACCCACGTGGGAGACCTGGAAGAGGCTCCTGGCTTCAGATTGGCACAGCACCAGCCATTGCGGTCGCTTAGGGAGTGGAATCACTGGAAGATCTTCCTTTCTTTCTCCTTTCTGTATATCTGCCTTTCCAATAAATAAATCTGATTAAAAAAAAAAAAAAAACACAACCCTGCCTTTCCAATCAAAATAAGTTAGCTGATATTCAATTAACTCAATCCAAGTTTCCCACCTGGATAGCAGGGAGCCAAGTCCTTAAGCCATATCCTACTGCCTGCCAGCATGTGCGTCGGATGGAACTGGGAGTGGGGCCAGGGCTCCACAGGGAACACAGGTATTCCAAGGGGCATCTCCACTGCTGTGCCAAATGCCGGCCCCTGTACTATATCTTTGGCGTGTCTGCCTTTTGACTGTGAACAGTCACATGTAGTCAAGTGTGGCATGTCCCACCTGCGATATATCACTAATACAGAGAAAGTCGTGGGATTGGGAGTGTTTCAGGTTCCAGCTAGTTGGATGAGGATGTTCAATATCCCTAGGCTTAAACAAGGACTTGCCTTTCCTAAACCAAATCACAAATCAAGAACATAACATTTGGCTCAGTGCTCTCCCTTCAAGAGCCAGGATCCCATAAGGGTGCTGGTTCATGTCCTGGCAGCTCCACTTCCCTTCCAGCTCCCTGCTTGAGGCCTAGGAGAGAGTGGAGGACGGCCCAAAGCCTTGGGCCTGCACCTGCGAGGGAGACCCGGAAGAAGTTCCTAGCTTCGGATCAACTTAGCTCCAGCCATTGCAGCCACTTGGGGAGTGAACCAGTGGATGGACAATTTTTCTCTCTGTAAATCTGACTTTCCAATAAAAATAATTTTTTTCTCATTCCAGAAACGAATCTCAATTGGCAGACATTAGCCATTGCATGGGGAGCCACACAAACTCACACAGACAGAGGTGTCGGGGACATCCAGGGCCACTCCCTGCAGTTCTGCTTCCCCCACACCCAGGGAGACTGTCAGGTCAGGGCTCACATCCCTACCTAGAGCTTGAGAAATATAAAACAGTGCTTCAAAGCTAATGAAGTATCAGCAGTTAGGGCAGGCACTGGGCCTCACTCCTCATGCTCAGACACCTGGAGATCTTGGCTCCAGCTCCTGTCTTTAACTTCCTGTCACTATAGTTCCTGGGAGGCTGTGGGGATGGCTCAAGTGGTTAGGTCCCTGCCATTCTCAATGAAAGACTGGAATTATGTTTCCAACTCCTGATGCAGTATTTGGGGGAGTGAGCCTAAAAAATACCTCTTCCAGGCCTGGCACCATAACCTAATGGCTAAATCCTTGCCTTGCACATACTGGAATCCCATATGGGTGCTGGTTCATATCCCAGCGGATAACCTGGATGATCCCGACCCCTCTTCCCATCCAGCTCCCAGCTTGTGGTCTGGGTAAGCAGTCAAGGACAGCCCAAGGCCTTGGGACCCTGCACCCACAAAAGAAGCTCCTGGCTTTGAATCAACTCAGCTCTGGCCATTGCAGCCACTTAGGGAGTGAATCATCAGATGGAAGATCTTCCTCTCTGTCTTCCTCTCAGTTAAATAAACCTTTAAAAAAGGTTTGTCTCTTAGAACAGAATCAATCCCTCTTAGAGAAGGGCAAGGAAGTGGCAAAATGGCGGAGTGCTGGGTTCAAAAAGCAAACGGAACAGTAAGTACAGTCAAGAGCCTGGACTTTATCGTTTGGTCCAGACACACCCAGAAGGGACTCAGGACACTAAAGTACTTGTTCCAGACAACATGAGCAGTCAATCACAGAAAAGTTACAAGGAATGTTGTAAGGACCAACTGCCAAGTTGGGACAAGAGATGGGAACCCAGACTGCAGACTCCGTTTCTACACCGGCTCCGGGCTCCCGTCCCTTGCCCTGGCCAAGGCAGCGAGGCCAAGGGGAGGAGGTCGGAGCAGCCCGGCGCGGGTCTTCATCCCACAGGTGCCCGGCGCCCGCACTTACCCAGGGGGCCCTTCCCCGCGGCCTTCGCTTTCAGCTCCTCCAGTTTCTTCTGTTCCTCTTTCTGTTTCTGCTTGAAAGCCTTATCCTCCTAAGGGGGACGAAGAGCGCGCTCACTCCAGGCCCGTTCCCCGCTCCCCTCGCGCCCGCCCGTCCCCTCACCTCATCCATCTCCTTGGCCTGCTTCTTGGGTTGTTTCAGGGGCTTCTTTTTGCCACCTGCGGGGAGACACCAGTACGCTCAGTCTACCCCTCCGCCGGCTCCGTCTCTACCGTGCCCGCTGCCCCGAAGGGAAGCACTTACCTTCCCGGCCGGACATGGCGCCTGCCGCCCCTTCCCCAGACCCTGTCACCGGAAACGGGGCAAGCGGCTCCACCCCTTGGCTTTCACATCCCGGCGCGGACTTGCTGATTGGTTCCTAGTAGGGAAGTCGTTCTCCACTTGCGGGATGCGGGCGGGCGCTACCGGGTCAGAGGTCGACCGAGTGGCAGGCGGCTCAGCAAGGCTTGCAGGTGCGCTGTGTAGGGTCGTCCCTCCTGGGCTGGGGACGGGTGGGATCCCGAGCTCGGGGAGGGGCACCTCACCTGGAGGGACCGGGCCTTGAAGTCGTGCGTGAGAAAATGAGGCAGGTAGAGCGAATGACAAGTGCCTTGGAGCCGGCCGCTGTTCTGGGGTCGAAGAAGGAGATAGGACGAGAGGTGACAGAAGTGGACCGAACCTGAATCGCTGGGTCCTAAAACTTTGGAAGTCACCGTTTTAAGAAGTTAGGCCTGCACTCTGTTTTTAGGGGTGACGTGGTTTTGGAAGTCGGTGTATTTATTCAACACCTTGTTTTGTTGAGTGGATGTTGGTCTGGGTGCTGGGGGGCGGGGAGGGCAGGCGACAGGGCTGACATTGTAGCATGTTCGTAAAGCCAAGTGGAGATCGTGTAGAAAGAACGGAGGGCTGGGGTGGGGTGGGGCAGGGTACTCCAGGAGCCGAAGAAGGGAGGGAACCTGCCGGTCGAGCACTATAAACATAAATGAACGCCCCCCCCCCCATTTTTTTTTTTTTTAAAGAAAACACAAAGATTCTTAGGATAATACAGGCTGGAAATTGGTTTCTGGGGCCTCTTGATGGCATGGCGGAGAAATGGAGAGGATGTCTGTGGGGTTAAGCCAGTGACATTGCTGATTGGTTGGTTTGAGGTTGATTAAGGACGAAAGAGAATGTGAGTGGTCAGGGGCAATGTGAGGTTTTCCAGCTGAGCACCAGATCTGGGCTTGCAAACAAGATGGTGAAAACTATGAGAAAAACAAGTTGAGAAGGAGAAGGTGAGGTTAGATTTTCTTTTTTTTTTTAAAGATTTATTTTTATTATTTTTTATTGGAAAGGCAGATATACAGAGAGGAGAGACAGAGAGGAAGATCTTCCATCCGATAATTCACTCCCCAAGTGAGCCGCAACGGGCCGAAACTATGCCGATCCGAAGCCAGGAGCCTCTTCCGGGTCTCCCACGCGGGTGCAGGTTCCCAAAGCTTTGGGCTGTCCTCGACTGCTTTCCCGGGCCACAGGCAGGGAGCTGGAAGGGAAGCGGGGCTGCTGGGATTAGAACCGGCGCCCATATGGGATCCCGGGCGTGCAAGGCGAGGACTTAACCACTTGCGCCACCGCGCCAGGCCCTAGATTTTCTTTTTAAAAAAGATGCTTCTATATTTGCACTTGACTTGAAAGGCCATGAAGAGCTAGTGCTTTGGTGGTTTGGATAAAGTGCCAATTCCAGTCCTGGCTGTTCGTTTCTGATCCAGCTCCCTTGTACTGCATCTGGGAAAACGGTGGAAGATGGCCCAAGTGTACCTGTGTAGGGAATGGAAGAAGCTCTGAAGCCAGGAGCTTCAAGTTTCTTCTGGGTGTCTCACATGAGTGCAGGTGCCTGAGGATTTGGGCCACCCTCTGTTGCTTTCCCAGGCCATAAGCAGGGAGCTGGATGGAAGTGGAGCATCTGGGACGTGAACCAGAGCCCCTGTAGAATGTGTCACTGGCAGCAGCTTTACCTGCTGCACCACAGTTCCCATCTCCCTGTGCCCTCATGAGTCAGGACTGGGCCAAGCTGAGGCCAAGGTCTTGGAATTGAGTTGGGGTCTCCTCTGTGGGTGTCAGGAGCTCAAGCACTTGAGCCATTTATCTTTTACCTCCCTGGTGTGCCCTTGCAGGAGGCTGGATCAGAAGCGGAGAAGTCATGTTGTAGCAGGCTCTGTGCATGGTGCGCAGGCATCTCAAGCTGACTGACCGCCCACTCCAGCCTCGTGACATTTGCAGGCAGGGATGTGGGTTGGGCTGTTCCCTAAATGTGTCTAGAATTGTCAGGAAAGAGTTGGGCTGCATTAGTTTTGATTTTGTTTTTTAGTAACAGCTTCAGGGATACATGATTTATATACAAGTAACATACAACTCACATACAACAACATGTAACAGGAGTTTCACTTTACTCACAGAGTTCTGCAGCCCTGTCTACAGCGGTTCTATAGCATCCTCACAGAAAGTTTTTGAAGTCCAAGAGAAGGGAGGGAGGGAGCCTTGAGCCCTGGCAAACGACAGAGTCCAGAGGTTAGGAAGATGATGGGGACCCCAGCAGCAGAGTGGAAAGGGAGTTGCAAGCCAGTGGGAGTTTTCATGGAGTATAGACTGCAGGTGAGTCAAGACTCCGGCACCGATTCCTGCCTGTAGCAGCATGGAGATGACCAGGACAGGGTTCTAATGGTGAGTGGGAGTGAAGGCCAGACCAGAGAGGGCTCAAGGCGGAGGGAAGAGCAAGGGAGACAGAGTCCAGCCAGCTGTCCAGGAGGTGAGAGCAAAGAGCAGTTGAGGAATGGGGCATCTGCTGGGGAGGCAGAAGTGGGGGGGCCGGATGAAGATGTGGGGCCTGGGGCAGACCCCGGCATTCTGGAAGGTCTGATGAGTGTTTGTAGATGTTATCTCTGGTTGATTTGTCTCTAGTGTTTATGTATTTAAAAGTTAGAGTTACAGAAAGAGAGAGGAAGAAACAGAATCTTCCATGTGCTGGTTCACTCCCCAGATGGCTGCCATGGAGCCAGGAGAGCCTCTTCTGGGTCTCACATGTAGTCTGCCCCCGCCTCCCTTTTTAAGTGAAAAAGGAAGCAAGCCACCAGTTGCAAGTGAGCAGAAATCTAATGATAGATGTTTGAGGAAAAGACCGTTGGAGACAGTCATTTAGATGGAGTGGGATTTGGGGACCCTCAGGCCTATTTCTTTTTGTCTGTCCCCCTTCTGGGGCTCCCCAAGAGCCAGCTTCCTCTGCGTCTGCTTCCCAGTCCTCTCCCCCCTCCGGCCATCACAAGGAGATTGGGGCAGTCTCAAGTACTTTCCACCATTTTTCTCTGATTTGAGCTATAGCGAGGCTGAGAGAGAGGTCTTCCATTTGCTGGCTCACCAACCAAATGCCTGCAGAGGCCTTGGCTTGTGGCCATGGCTGCTGTCATCAAACATACATCCTCTTTGGGAAATACATGATCAACAGAGCAGGGTAGGTGTCCCGGGCGGGAATGACATTTGGGCAGCCTTGTGGAGAGAGTGGCAGCCTGGGGAGTGGCAGTATCTCGGTCAGTCGGTCTGTTGGAGTGTCGCCAGTCAGGTGGCTGGAGCAAAGCACTGCAGGCGGTGTTGGTGATTGAGAGAAGGAATATGGGGAAGGCTGAATAAATCTGGCAGCTATGGACAGCAGGTGGTGAGAGGTGGGGGGAGGGGGAGGGGAATGCATAGGAAAAGAAGGTGTGGAAAGGGACTGGAGAAGAAACCCCAGGATTCCTGCTGGACCCAGCAGGGTGGAGAGTTTGGGTTTTTACAAAGATCTGTTTACTTGGAAGGCATTTACAGAGAGATGGAGAGACACAGAGACCTTCCACCTGTAGATCTATTCCCCCAGTGGTCACAGAGGCTGGGTCTGGGCTAGTCAGAAGCCAGGAGCTTTATCCAGGTCTCCCACATAGGTGACAGGGGCCATCTTCTCCTGCCTTGTCAGGCACAGTAGCAAGGAGCTGGATGGGACGTGGCACATCCAGGAACTCCATATGGGATGCTGGAATTGCATTTAGAGGCTTAGTGCATTGTGCCACATGGCTGTCCCCTTAGTGGAGGTTTTTTTAAGGGGCCTTCAGGAGAGCTGCCTTGATTGTGGACTGGAATGCAGAGAGAAAGGAAGTGAGGAGGTTGCAAGACACCCAGGTGACACATCTGACTTTGGAACACTGCTGCAAAGGAAAGGGGGCAGGCACTATGCCTGGTGGTACTGCAGGCAATGTGCTGTTGGCTTTGACGAAGCAAGCACCTGCAGGAAGTTATGGGGAGTCACAGCCTGTGCCATGGATGCTGGTCTTGAAGCCTGGGAGGCCTGGGTGAGTTCCTGTAATGATGGCACATGGTCCCCAGTTTGATGACAGAGGCCCAGGGGTTTGGGTGTGGCACCAGCTTGGGACAATTGTCACAGGAACATCCCATCCATGGCTCTGAGTTTGGGCTCACTTTGGAAGGCACATTCCATCCAAACACTTTGTTTTCTAGAGGGCCTCCAACTGGAGGAAGTGGAGGCTAGGCGAGGCTGTGGGCAGGCTTCTCCTGGCACCCTGACTTCAGCTGGCCCCTTGTCTGTCCCTAGGCCCAGTTCCCTCTACTTTTCCCTTTCCAGCCTGGTCGATTGGCCACCAGGTGTCGCTCTGATAGCAAGGCTGAATCTTAGAAACTCTTCCCTGGGGAGTTTGGCCAAAGAAAGATGTTGCTGGCTTTTTCCTACAATGTGGGGCAAAGTTTTCCCCACAAATGTCGGGCACCTGGTCTCCTCTTGGGGATCCTTACTGTCCCTGTCCTTTTTTGGGCATTGACAAGGATAGTGGGAAACTCCTTGTGCTGTTCAGGTGGCAGGAAGCAGGTGTCATTAGGGCCCAGACATCAAAGCCAGGCTGAGCCAGGGAAAGATTAAAGAAACCTAACCTGTTGAGTGGTGAGTGAGGCCACCGCAGAGGGAGGAGGAAGGGGAGACTGGGAGTGGCTGCCTGGAAACCCTCCAGGAGGGAGGAAGGAGAAGGGATTGTGAACCTCAGGCCTCTGTGGACAGAGCACTTTCCTGTCCTCACCCGGAATCCCGACTCCATGGTTGCAGTGGTGGGTGGCTGGTTTTGTGGTTCTTCTACTAAAATGTCCCCACAGCTTCCCCAGGGAATCTCGGCGGGGCTTTATCAACATGGATGTGGCTCACGTGGAAAACTTGGACATTTTTAGTAATGTGGGCACCAGACCCAGCAGGGTGTGGGGGTGGGAGGGGAGTCCTGTGGGGCTGGGGTCTGTGAACACAAATGGGAGCAGGGTTCTCTTTAAGTCCTCCAGCATCATTCTGCCTCGGGGTGGTAGAGGGGGCTGAGTTTCAGGGGTCTGGGAGGAAATGTGTCTGAGCTGCCCCTCGGGCTCTCTGGGCAGTGAGCTAATGTGTGGTGTCTCCCTTGCAGATCTCCGGATGAGATGATGGGGCGCGGCCCTGTGTGGGCCATACAGCTTGTTGTGGGTGTGCCCCATGTGCCAGCTCGGACGGGCCTCCTTGGAAGGGACCTTTTTATGACCAGGACCCTCTGCAGCCCAGGCCCCAGCACGCCCAGGGAGAAAGGCCCAGAGGAAGCGGCGGCCCTTGGGCTGCAGCAACGCCTCCCGGCGCTAGGGAGAGCCCTGGGCCACAGCATTAGACAGCGGGTGTCCTCCACAGCCAAGACATGGTGGGACCGGTATGAAGACTTTGTGGGACTCAATGAGGTCCGTGAGGCCCAGGGCAACGTAACAGAGGTGAGGAAGGGAGTGGAGGCAGCGGCAGCCCTGCCCTGTAGCCTGGGATTTACAACATGGAGACTGGCATTGCCAGCCGTGGTGCTGGGACCCAGCTGCGGCCTTGTTTTTCCCTAAGCTGGTATTGCTGGTAGAGACATCTGATTCCTTTCTCAATACAAGTCTGGATTTGACACTATAGCAGTGAAGGCCTCTGCCGCTTCACTCCCCAAATGGCCACAATGACCAGGGCTGGACCAGACTGAGGCCAGGAACCCAGAACTTCACAAGTGCTGGACCAGCCTCCACTTCCTTCCCTGGATACATCAACAGGAAGCTAGATCTGAAATGGAGCAGCCAGGACTCAAACTGCTACTCGAGTATGCAGTGCTGGTGTTGGAAGTGCAGCTTCACCTGCTGTGCTGTCTCTGTCTCTGGCCACTAATATCCATTCTGTTAGGCCAAGAAACACTTCCTGTATTAATTGGGCAGGGGTGACAGCAAGACCCAACCAGCGATGATTGATTACTACCATAGCCCTTGCACAGGTAGGAGGCCTTGGGGTTTAGCTGACTGTACTGCTTGTGGCAATAAGAAGGTGTTGTGCCTTCTCTGTTCCCATTCTAAATGAGCACAGAGCCACATAAAGAGGTGGGGAGAACTGGGGTTCAGCTGGGGAGTTGAGGCATGCTAATTCCTCTCATTGGAGATTGTGAGCCTGGGTGAGCTGGGGCCCCTAGGCCTCTCATGGTATTGTTGTTGGTGTAAATAGATAATGGGCAGGAAGCCACAAGAGGTGGCTGGGTTCTGTGGACATGGATTGTATGTACTCGCTGCTTCCAAGTTTCGCAAGGGGCGTGTCCCTTCTACTTGAATGGATAAATCTGGTGATTCTGACAGGCGTGGCCCCAGGGCTGCACTTTGAGCGCCACTGGGTAGGCTAGGATTAGTGTCCAAGGGACTGGACCCACCCTTGGCAGCTGGTACCCAGGGACTTTTTCCTAGCCAAAACCTTGTTGAAAGTGGAGCTGAGCCCATATGGGTGTGGCAAAGCGGGGGCAGCCAAGTTCTACCCTTCTCTCCGCAGGCAGAGAAGATTTTCATGGTGGCTCGTGGGCTCGTCCGAGAAGCACGCGATGAGTTGGAGGGCCAGCAAGCCAAGCTGAAGGAGGTGAGGGACCGCTTAGACCGCATCTCCAGGGACGACAGCCAATACCTGGAGCTGGCTACACTGGAGCACAGGATGCTGCAGGTAAGCACCTTGGATGCAAGCCCTGCCTGGTCGGGTGGTCAGAGACTGCTACGAAAAGACAGGGCCACAGGCTCCCAGATGGCTAAGGACCCAGCACCTCACAGCGGCTGGCCCAATGCTTCAGGACCCCTCAAGTGAGAAGCCATGTAGCTTGCTTCCACTGCTCCCTGGGCCCCACCCCACCCCATTGGGTATATGCAGTCTGCCTACCCAGTACCATGTGTCTAGCAGGTTCAGAACTGAGAGCCTGGCACAGGGTGGTGGGCCAGCGCTGGTGGCTGCAGCTGCAGGGCTGCCTCACCACTAACCCCGCTTCCCTTCTGCAGGAGGAGAAGAGGCTCCGCACTGCCTATCAACGTGCCGAAGACTCTGAGCGAGAGAAGTTCTCCCTGTTCTCTGCAGCTGTGCGGGAAAGTCACGAGAAAGAACGCACGAGGGCCGAGAGGACCAAGAACTGGTCCCTCATTGGATCGGTCCTGGGCGCCCTCATCGGTGTGGCCGGCTCCACCTATGTGAACCGTGTCCGGCTTCAAGAGCTGAAGGCCTTGCTGCTGGAGGCCCAAAAGGGACCCTTGAGTCTCCAAGAGGCCATACGGGAGCAGGCATCCACCTACTCACTCCAGCAGAGGGACCTGCATGACCTCATGGTGGACCTGCGGGGCCTGGTGCATGCCAGCCAAGGGCAGGGCTCTGGCTTGTCAGGAGCTTCCCCTACCCCGGCCGGAGACACAGAGGTCCTCTCAGCTGCTTTGAAAGAGCAGCTCCGTCATTCCAGACAGGTCCATTCATGTCTGGAGGGCTTACGGGAGCAGCTTGATGGCCTGGAAAAGACTTACAGCCGCATGGCTGGGGTGCTGCAGCTTGCAACTGCAGCCGCACAGCCGTGCCCAGAGGAGCCAGCAGACGGGGCTCTGCCCAGCTCCGTGTTGGGACAGGGAGGCGTGATCTTGGCCCTGTCGGATGCAGAGCAAAGGCTAGAAGCCCAAGTCAACAGGAGCGCCATCTACAGCACACTGGTCACCTGCGTGACATTTGTGGCTACCCTGCCTGTGTTGTATATGCTATTCAGGGCCAGCTAGCCCCGTCCCTTCTCCCTCTCCCCGCCGCCTCCTGGGAGTCTGAGCAACTCAGAAGGGGGTGTGAGCTGAGTTGGCGAATCCTTTCCATCCCTTCCAGCAATGTAGTTAGCTGTCGGGGGCATGCACCCCTAGCCAGTGTACCTCCAGGCATGCCCCACTCTGTAGACACTGTGCTGTTTTACACTGATTATAAACATGCTGTACTAATAGCCAATTAAAATGTCTTAGAATTTCTGATTTATTGACTGAGTGCATGGAGAACTGAGATCTGGAATTTGAGGGTCGGGCCCCTCTCCTCTTGGTCGCCAGTCAGAGCAGGGCCCCCTTGGACACGCTCACTCCCGAGGCCCCGTTTCTGCTCTGGATTTCCTGGTCATTCCCTTGACTTGCCTGACCTGCCTCTATCTGGTGGCCTGGGGGGGGTTCCTTCTGGTGAGTCAGTGAGCTTATTTCTGCATGTTCTGTCTGCCGTGATGGGGAGAAATCTTGGCTCCAGCGTTGGAGTAGGGATCAGAAGAGAGCTTGGGGACAGCATTTCATGATTGGTGGCCCATCTGGGCTTTGTATAGTGCCACTGGGCACTACAGCTGGGGATGCTGAGGCCCGGGATGACCTTGACAGGTGGACTACCAGCCCGCAGCACACAGGCAGGGATGGGGAGGAGACCTTCCACAGGTGGGAGGGTCAGTGGAGAGCCCCTGAAATCTATGGCCTAGGCACAAATGGTGGAGTCTGGCCTTGTGTAAACAGGAGTGCTGGAGGGCAGGTGGGCAGCCCAGAGCCCATCCTCCCTGCTCTGTGCCCCGTCCAGATGACTGAGTCAGGAGTGCTGCTAGACTCGCCCTTCTGAAGCTTTGCTCAGCCTGGGCCGTGAATGGGGGGAGTATCCAAGTGGCCCTGCAACTTCTCTGAACTGAACTCCAGGTCTCTCTGTCATTGGTCCCTCCATCCAGAATGGTTTGTTGGATCCTGACAGGGACCCACCAGGAGTTGCTGTGTTTGTGTGCAGATGTGGAGAACAACAGGGCTCCCAAGTCCTAGGTTCTGGGAAAAGGCAGGCCCTGAAAGGTAGGCATTTGAGTGAGCAGATGTGGGGAGGAATCCAGCCCAGGGATTGTGCCAACTGAGGGTGGACCAGGTCCCTGGACTCACCTACTGGACTTCAGGTGGATGAGGAAGGGTGCCGTGGGTAGGTGGGGAGGGAGAATTTGGAAAGCACAGAGTCTGGTAGCTGAGGAAGATAGGAGTCCCCGCCCCCCCCCGCCCCCCAAGGAGTTGGAGCTGGGGGTGGAAGCGGGAAGAGGGTGATGCCGTGGTTCTTAGGACAGTAGCAGGTGTGGGTGACCTGCACCCTCTGGTTGAGGCTTCCAAGGGCTGTTTGCAGTAGTTATTAAGGGAGGGCCGTGCACAGAGGAGAACCCTCACATGCCCAGCATTTCTTCCTGCGAAGGCTCGGGAGTCGGCCAGTGAGGGAGTCTAGACTTGCCCAAGGCTTCTGCCTGGGGAGGAAAGGCGCTCTGGCTTGCGCGGCCCGCCCGGGCCAGGGGGCTCATCCCCACCTGCTGGTGTGCGAACCGGCAGAGGGGAGGGGGCAGGAGGTGGCTGCGGGTGTCAGGTTACAAGACTTTGCGATGGCGCAAACCTGGGTCCAAAGCCCGAGCTTTCCTCAAACAGCTCGAGGTGGGGGCAGAAGGAGGGGCTGGCTGGCGCAGAGTCCCGGCAAACGGGCCAGGTGCGCGAAGAACTAGGCGCCGCGCTTCAGGTAAAGAAAGTTTGAGGGAGAAAACACCATAAACGTTGGGGCTGGAAGGGTGAGCGGGAGGGATGGCGGCGGAGACGGCCAAGGAGCAGACGCGCCAGGTGAGAGGCGCGGGACCGGGCTCCGGCGTGACGGGAGAGGCACGGGGGCACCGCGCCCCTCGCTGCGGCCGCTCCCTTGCCGGGAGCGCTCCCAGTTCCGGTGCTGGTGGAGGTGCAGGTGAGGCCCGGCGCGGGGCGGGGCCGGGCAGCCCCCGCTACGGGGGACCCGCGTTGCCATGGCTACCGCCACTGTGCAGCCCCTGTTCCACCTTTTCCCAAACGCGCGTGGAACCCTGCCCCCGCCCCACGCGCCCCGCGTCCTAGGCAAACCCAGAGCCCGCGCGGTGGGAATGCGGGGTCCCGGGGAGTTCGGAGCCGCGCGCCCCGTTTTCCCGGCTGCTTCCGGCCTGGCTCGGGCGGCGGGCGGGGTGCAGGGGGAGGGCGGCCCGGCGGGCGAAGTAGGAGGGGGGGGAAAGGAGCGGAGCCGGCCCGGCCGACGCGGCTTTGTCTCCTTTGTTCCCAGCGGTGGCAGCGCCGCGGCGGGAGGGGCGGGCAGCGGGCGCAGTTTTCCGCCCCTTGGTCGCCGGGTAACAGCTGCGGCTCCGCCAGACCCACCTCCGGGGCAGGCCGCCGCACGCACCTCGGTGTCCCCGAGCGGCCCGCGCGCACATCCCGCGGGGCCGCGGCCGGGTGGTGAGTGCCGGGCGCGGGGCCGGGGGGCGGCGGGGCCCCCGGCGAGGCCGCGCGCGCGGAGGCAGAAAGCGGCCTGGGGCCTGGATCCCGCCAGGCAGGGGCGGCCTGCGGGAGTGGTGGGCGGTTTCGGCGCCCAGAGTTGGGACCACGCTTCTCCGCGCGGAGAGAAACTCTGGCGGCGGTGCCGCCTGAAACGCGATTGGGAGACGGAGGAGGTGGAGCTGCTCCTCCGCGCCCCCTCCTCTCCGCCGCTGCCTCGCGGGGGGGACCAACCGGCCCCTTCCCCCGCCCTCCCAGCGCCCCTGGTGCTGTCTCCGATCCGAACCCTGGTGCGGAGGGTGGGGGAGGAGGAGGGTCGCATCGTTTCTGCGGGAGCAGCCACCCTTTCAGGTGCGCTCGCGCGGGTCGAAGGCGGACCTCGAGCTGCGCGGCCACACGCCTCTCCATACAGTCACTGGGTGCAGGATGATGAGCCCCGTGGCGGAGCCCGGTGCCTCTCATTCCCCCCCTCGCTCCCTGTCCCGTCCTCAGCAACACGCAGCACACACAAGGTGGGCCGTTAGCGCCACTGCACTGTCAATGAGTAACTGGCCTCTTTGGAGGACCTGGAGAGTGCAGCCAGGGGTGGGGGCGGAGAGGGGAGGGCGGACGGGAAGGCCACAGTCCCCAGGACTACAGGACCAAGTACATGTGTCAGGGCCAAGCCGGGAGCCCCTTTGGTTGGTGAGGACACTCCGGGAGATCCTAGGAGCTGCTTTCTTTCTGCAGACAGAAGTTAGGTGGCCGCGGTCCCTGCTGAAGAGGGGCAGGCCTGGGCACAGGCAGAGTTAGGCCTTGGCGGTGTGCCTGGACAGAGCCGGGGAGGTGGGAGGTGGGACTTGGGAGGAGAGCCTGAAACCTGGGGACGGAGGCGTGGCTCCTGATCGGGCCCATCAGCCCTGTGCAGTGTGCCCGAGCAGGTCATCAATAAGTGGGGCCTGTGGGAGAGGCCGAGTGGCTTGGAGAGTAGCGTGGGCCCCAGGGTCTCCGCTACCAGGTGGGTTTCCTTGGATTGGAAGTGGAAGTTTCGTGTACTATGCAGGGAGCGTCTACACATGGGTACAGTTGCCACTCCCTGCCTGCCAGGAGCTTCCCTGCAGAGTGGGAGGGTGGGGTGAGGGACACCGCTGGGGTCTGGGCTCATCCAGATGCCACATGGCGTGACACTTGGAAGCCTGAGAAGTCAGGAAGGCTCTCTGGGGAGATGCTAGCTGGGCGTAGGAGTTAACTGGGATGGACAGGGAGTGGGCATTCCAGGCTGGGGGACGGCCTTGTGACATGGGACAACAGAAAAGACTGGAACTGCCACTGTCCCTGGCCGCAGGAACGAAGAGCATGTTGGGGGGGAGAGGGCGGGGCCTGGAGGGGTTTGACCTTTATCCTCTGGCCCTGGGGGTGGAGGGGAGTGGAATGGGACATGCTCCAGCCTTGATGACCCTTGGAGAATCAGGGTACAGGGTCTGCTCTGTGTCATGCCACACTGGGGGAAATGTCGCTGCTTTCTTTCTTTCTTCCCCCTGCAGCCCATGGTCCTGGGCAAAGAGGCAGGTTAGAAGCCAGAGGCAGTGGTTGGCCTCAGCCTCCTACTGGGGCCTGGCTGGAGCTGATCTGGCTCCGCCTCTTCTTCCTGTGGGCCCCTTCAACCCAGTTGTGCTTTCCCGCTGGGGAGTGGCTTTGTTGTTGCCCCTTGAGGGATGGAGAAGCTTGGCACCACTAGGGCCTGAGCAAATATTTGTAAGCGAGTGAAGGAGCGAATGTTGATCTGTAGGACCCGATGCCCAGGGCACATCCCTGGCCTGGGTGGCAGGCGGGGTGAATGGCCGCTGAGTGCAGACGGTGGCCTCTGGCCATCCCCAGGTGGGGCTCTGCCAGTCTCGGAGGAAGAAGCTTGCTCTCTCCATCCCATGGAAACAAGGTGGGGGGCTCCTGGGCAGCCTGGCCCTGCCACAGTTCCTGGGATTCTGGCGGGGGTTCGAGACTTTGCCTGCCTCCTCTCCCCCACCCCCTTGGATGGCAAACAGAGGCAGCCTTGTTCCCGCTCCCATAGAGCTGCCCTGTTCTCTGCACACTAAAAATGGAAACCCCCAAGCTATTTTGGGAGCAGTGCCCAGCCTGACTGTGGCCATGACTCTCCCCCTGCTCCCACCGGGCTATGGTCCACAGCGTCCCTGCTCCTGCCACTGCCACCACCGGGCTGGGAGACCCTCCTCTGAGGCCTGTGTCCATGCAGCCTCAAAAGCACCCTGCCGAGGGTTCCTGCTGGGGTGAAGTGATCTGGGCAGCGGAGGGAAGCCAGGGCTTGGGACGTTCTGCACTGACAGCCTGGCAGCTGGGTGGTGGGCGGGGCCGGGCCACGTGGCCTTGGCCCAAGCAAGGAGGGGAAGTGTGGCCGGGATGCAGGGTTTTTTTCCCATCACTTTGCCGACCTTGGTGCTGCTGGCCGAGGACACTCGAGGGTCTGGGGCAGGTGGCATCGCTGTGACTTCTTGATTCTGGGACGTGGAATGCAAAGGGGCCTGGGAGGAAGGCAAGCCCCAGAGTCCTGTGGTGGGATGCGGCTGAGCATGGTGACATCCTTTAGAACACCTGCCTCCTGTCCTTCCCTCTGGGCCCTGGTTCCACTATCACCTGCAGGAAAGGAAATAGCAAGAGCTGACCCAACTTCGCCAGCTCCCTGGGACTCAGGGCCGTGCCAGGGAAGGGGA